GAAACCCAGCCCCTTATATAAGCCTAGGAGCTCCGAGTGAGACGTGTAGAGCCGGGATTGGTGGTTTGCTCATCACCCCAGATGACGCCACGGGAGAGGCACAGCTTAAACGGTGAACTCTAACTGACAGCGGATGTCAGCGCCATCTTCTAATGGCAATAGCGATAGCGAGGGCGGCTCCTCACATCCATTTGCAAAAGTTCATTTCTGAGAATACCTTTAGGATTACAACCTGCTGGTAACGGAGTTTGATTGTAGAATGAGCAAGTAGGGCAATTTCTTACTATTTCTTTGGATTGTTGCCAGATGATAGAAAAAGCCTTCTTTAAACCTTTGCTGTTAACATGGTGTTTCTTATGAAATTCTGAAGCTTCCAACAAATTACCTGTTAAAAAATGATCAATTTCATCATTGCCTTGTGCCAGAGGACCTGGCAGACCTTTATGGGATCTGATGTGTGTTATATATATAGGGTGAGTCCTGTTTCTGATGGTTTCCTGTAATTTTAAAAACAATGAGGTTAATTCTGTACTATCAGGAACAAATTCTGCAGTCTCAATGTGCAAGACAACTCTCTCTGCATACTGAGAATCTGTGACTATATTGAGAGGCTCTGTAAAGTCTTTATACCATGAGAATGGCATATAATTCTGCCTTTTGTATGGAGTTGTAAGGGCATTGAACTACTTTACTTATATTTCCTGATTTATACCCTGCTTTACCTGATTGGTTTGCATCCGTGCAGAAGGTAAGAACTCCAGAAATAGGTGTTTGTCTCACGATATATGGAAGAATCCAAATTGTTTTCTTTATGAATTTGATTCTCTCTCTTTTGGGATAGTTATTGCTAATACTTCCCAAAAAGTCACTGCAAGCCATTTGCCAGTACTCATTATCCTTCCACAAGGAGGAAATTTCCTCATTTGTTAAAGGTACAATAATTTCAGCTGGGTCTTTCCCAGTCAGTTGACAGAGCCTTGCCTTACCTTTTAATATCAAATCGGAGATCTTTTCTATATTTGTTTTCATTTTTTATTCTGTTTATATGGCAGAAATACCCATTCTAGTATGATGTCTTCCCTCTGCATTAATATTCCTGAGGGGTATTCTCTAGATGGTAAAATAACCAGAATACAGTCCAGCTTTGGATCCACACGGTCCACATATGCTTCTAATATTCTCTTTTCTACCCATTCTAATTCTTTTTCAGCCTCAGCTGATAGTACTCGTGGGCTGTTTAGGTCTTTATCTCCTTTTAAAGCCATTTTAAGGTGTTTTAAATCATGGCCTTCTATACCAATAATTGTCTGTAATTGAGAAATCTCTCCTAATAGTTTTTGAAGATCATTAAGAGTCAGGTAACGATCTCTTCTGATATGTACTTTCTGTCGTCTAATTTTCTGAGCATCTATTTTATAACCTAAATAGTTAATAGAATCTCCTCTTTGTATTTTTTTCTGGGGGAATTTGTAATCCCCAGCGAGGCAAAGTTTCCTTTACTGCTTTAAACACCTTTTCTAAAGTATCCTTATTTGAGTCAGACAGTAATATGCCATCCATATAATGATATATTAACGAATGTGGAAATTTTTTATGAACAATTTATAGAGGTTTATGCACAAAATATTGACACAAAGTTGGCCTATTTAACATACCTTGAGGCAGTACCTTCCACTGGAATCTCTGTACCGGTTGGGAATTACTATAGGTAGGTAATGTGAAGGCTAACTTTTCTCTGTCGTTTTCTTGTAACGGTATGGTAAAGAAGCAATCTTTTAAGTCTATAACTATAATTGGCCAATCCTTAGGTATTAGAGAAGGTAGTGGCATCCCAGGTTGTAGAGACCCCATAGGCTGAATTACCTTGTTGATGGCTCTAAGATCAGTAACCATTCTCTACTTACCAGACTTCTTCTTGACAACAAAAACAGGTGAATTCCATGCACTAGTTGATTCTTCAATATGTCCAGCATCTATCTGTTCCTGAACTAACTACTCCAAAGCCTCTAACTTCTCAGATGTCATAGGCCATTGACCTACCCAGACAGGTTCATCTGTTAGCCATTTTAAGGGCAGAGTTTTCAGGTGCTCTGTAGGTTTGACATTAGCATCCTGTTTTTGTACAGCCTGTATGTTTGGCAACTGCTTTTTGTAATACCTTACAACATTTCTTCTACCATCTAGAGTTTGTATATGATTCATATCTGATACAGGAGGAATGTTAATTTGGGGATTCCATTGCTGTGATAAATCACGACCTCAAAGAGTCATAGCAATATCTGCGACATATGGCCTCAAACTTCCTCTCTGCCCTTCTGGTCTAATACATTCTATCTATCTGACACTTTGTTTCACATGAGATAAGGTCCCAATTCCTAGAAATTGAACATTTATATCTTTAGAGGGCCAACCTACTGGCCAGTTTTTCTGAGTTATTATTGTTACTTCTTCTCCAGTGTCTAAGACCCCGTAAAATAATTTATTATTCATTTTTGTAGCTAATTTGGGTCTATGATCTTGTATAGAAGTTTGCCAGACTATTCCTTTTTTATTTCCTCCAGTATCAACTAGCTCCTCCTCAATAACTAATCCACAGTGCCATTAGTCTTTACAGTAGGCTGTGGATTTCCTAATTGTCCTGAGAGAGGCTGTCCTCCACTGTTACTGGGAAGGACCAAATCACCCTTGATCTTAGGGCCTCTACGGGGAGACCCCTGTGCGTGTTTCCTGGCTGCAAAGGCTTACCTTGTCTGTCTGTAGTTGACCAACATTCTTTGGTCCAGTATCTCTTGCAGAGATCAGGAGGCTGAGGCCTTCTGTGTGAAGTATTTCTGGTAGAAGCATTATTTCTGTGAATGCTTTGTCTACAATTCCTACTCAAATGTCCTATTTTACCACAATTAAAACATCTAAGGTTTAGATGTCTTTTGAAACTTCTGAAGATTGCTTCTCCAACCCAATTCGGTATCTCCTCCTGGATATGCCATTTTTCATCCTGATTCCTCTGAAATCCTATAGAAATGGCTTCTCCTATCCAGGTTCCTGCCTCTGGATTGTCATACTCAACATTAGTTGTATGTAAGACCCATTCCTCCAGTGGTCCTGATCTGATCCGTAATGGCCACAGTATCTGTTTGTATTGTGGGTTTGCATTCTCATACGCCAAAGATCCTATAAGAAGTTGCCTAATATTAGGATCAGTTATCTGTAATTCTATTGCTCTGGATAATCTTTGTAAGAATTCAGAGAATCTTTCTCTCGGACCTTGAATCACTTTTGAATATGATTCAACATTTTCCCCTCTTTCACGAACCTTATCCAAAGTATTTAGTGCTTCTGTTTTGCATAAATCAAATGTATGCTCATCATAATCAGCTTGGACTTGCGGGTCAGAAAATTGCTTCTCCCCAATAATCTTACTTTCGGAAGCTTCAAAGCCGTCCTTCAAACCTTGAAGTTCAAGTGCCTGGGCCTTGGCTTCCTGTCTCCACAAAGCTTTCCACTGTATTTGGGAAGACTGGTCCAGCACTGCAGATATTAAATCATGCCAATCTGAGGGAGTTATTTTATTAGTAGTAGACCATGTGTTTAGTTTCACATAAGGGCTGTGGACCCCAAAAGACATTATTGCTTGCCTTATAGCTTTCATGTCTTTCATGGGAATAGGTTTCCATTTATGTGTAGTGGAACCAGTTTGGTTCCTCCTCGATGCTGGCTTTTCTATCATGGTTACTGGAAAGGCCACCTAAAGATGTCTAGTAGCCATATTTTGTTTATTTCCTGTTTCAGATGACGTATCTTCTAAAGATTGAAATTTTGCAACCATGTCATCATTTAGGTCTTGGATTTCCTGCATTAAAAATTGTTCCAAGCCCTTGGACTGCTCATTGAGGTCTTGGATTTCCTGCATTAAAAATTATTCCAAGTCCTTGGACTGTTCTTTGAGGTCTTGGATTTCCTGCGTTAAAAACTGTTTCAAGTCTTTGGACTGTTCAGTTAAACGTGACTCCAAGCTTTTCATACCATCCTCCCTAAAAACTCCAAAGGCATCTATTTTTCCTTCCAGAAAACACATTCAGTCCGCTAGATAGTCATTATTTTCAGACACAGATTGAATTGACCCTGTTAATTTTGAAAATTCCTCTTGGCTAGACTCCAACTTAGCCATAAGTGCAGTGGACAATGAATTGAATGTGTCTCGAAGGTTGTTCTGATCAAATTCCAAATTATCTGTTTTGGTAACTAAATCACCTTTTTCCTGAATTTTTTACTCTAATTTTCGAATCATTTGTACATGTTTTTTCCATGTGATTACATGTATTAACACAATGATCACAAGCATGGCACACATATACATATAAAAATATCATAATTGTCTTTTACTTCTTAATCCATGACATTGGTAACGAAATATCTAAAAGCCTGCAGTGTTAGCCGGGCGTTGGTGGCACATGCCTTTAATCCCAGCGCTCTGTGAGTTCGAGACCAGCCTCGTCTACAGAGCAAGTTCCAGGACAGCCTCCAAAGCCACAGAGAAACCTTGTCTCGAAAAACCAAAAAAAATCCTGCAGTGTAAAATTACCTGCCATGTTATAATTAGATGTTCTTACCACCAATTGGTGATTCCTAAATTGGAAAAATCACCTCTTGTTTTGTCTTAGATTAAAATACCTGTAGTTACCGTGCCTGGTCAGTGGATGGCGCAGGTGTACTGCCAAACATTGCCTCTCCTAGAAAATCAGATGTTTCCCAAGGAACCTGTAGAAACTCTGAACAGATTTGGGAGCAAATAGGGTTTGGTGAAGTTGGTGGACACATTGCACTGCAGCCAGTAAGCAGCAGCCCTCCATGGAGCCCAGGCTAGACCATTCTCAAACTGTCTGTCTCTGCCTCCCAGGCGCAGCTATGACAGACATACACCTCCATTCCAGCTGTTTCTTTTTATGTCGTTTGACAACGTAGACATGATCAGAGATGGCTTTTCTGTCTTTCTCACATAGCGCAGGAGCCCTTCAAACCAGGGCTGATAGCCCAGCTGGAGAAGGAAGAGAAGCTTTGCATGGTGGAGGCCCCAGGACGTGGACTCCCAGGTGGGAGCCCGAGCTGCGGGTCAGGGGGTGGGAGTTCTTTCCAGAACACGGGGCAGGGAAGTCACTTCTCCCTAACTCTCCACTGGGCCCCACCCGCCTCACAAATAGTTAATAGTGCTTAGAGCAGGGCCGCTAAGAGCTGAGTAAGGGTGCTCGTCACCAAGCCGGAGACACCAGTTCCATCCCTAGAACCACCTGATAGGAGGAGGGAGAAAACTGACTCCCCAAGTTGTCCTCTGACTTCCTCAGTCATGCCAGGGCTTGACCCCAAACACACTCGGGGAAAGAGAGGGACAGAGATACAGAGAGAGAGAGAGACCACACACACATAGAGGGACAGAGTGAGAGCACACACTCATGCTCACAGGAGACATTTTCCACTTTGTAATGTCCCCTTTTGTTTTCACCATTGGATCACCCAACAATGTGTGATAAAGACACAATGACATGCTTAGAGTTCACTGGACCTTTCCATGGGGCCATATATGATATGCACATTTTTTAGGAAAAACCCATATCTCTGAGTTTGAGCAAGTTCCAAGATAGCTATGGTTGTTACACAGAGAAACCCTGTCTCAAAAAACAACAAACAAAAAAATATCTCTTTTTTCTTTCCTTTTCTTTTTTTTTTTTGAGACTGGGTTTCTCTGTGTAGCCCTGGCTGTCTTGGAACTCACTGTGTAGACCAGGCTGGTGTCAAACTCTCCAGAGATGCACCTGCCTCTGCCTTCTGAATGCTGTGATTAAAGGTGTGCATCCCTACTGTCTGACAGAAAATCTAGATGTTAAGGTACCCAGAGAGCTGTGGTTCTGTGGCTTCTGTGTCTGTATCGGGTGTTTTGTAAGTGCTCATAGAACAGGGTGACACGTGAGTCTCCTGCTGTTAGCCAAGGGTTGACTTCCAAGTCTCTTAATAAGGTGCTCACTTGTGCATTTCTCTGGATTCTCATCCTCCTAGGAAGCAAGGGTGGACATGCTGTGGAATTAAACTCCTGTTGTCCCAGAGCATTCTCCTCCTGTCAGACCTGGCCAGGAGGTGCAGGCTTGTTACCCAGGGGTCAGGATTCCATGAGAAGATGTCCAGAGGGAAACACCGAGTCTCAGAACCAAGGAGATTGTCCTTGCCTGGTGTGCGCAGGCATGCCGGTTCAGATTTCTGAAGACGGGAACTACGTGTGGCCTCCTGTAGATGATGACGCTGCCTCTATGAAAAATCAAGGGTTTCCTTCGCTGAGAGCCAAGCAGTTCTGGTGGGAATCATATCTCCATGGAGCGTGTAATTGCCAATGGGAAGGTCAGCAAATGTCCAGGAGAAATCACTTCTGCAGGTGTGAGGGCATCAGGTGGTTCTCATACCACAGGGACAGTGAGGGGTTACACAGAAAGCAGGGAAGCTGTAGTGTCCATGACAACGGAGAAGAGACCATGACAGTATCGTCGTTAAAGCAGGACTTGGTTAGGTTAGGGCCTGAGCCCTGCCCATGTACTGAGGCTGGAAAAGCCTGGGGCCATGGTCACAGTGAGGACCACAGCTCTGTCACACAGCAGCAATTCCACTCCAGAGGGAAGCCCTGTGCACACAGTCCGTGTGGAAAGGGCCGTGGTGACGGCTCAGCTCGTCACAGTCATCAGAGTGTGGAGACAGGAGCTGAGGGTGCTGCTGAGAGCCCTCCTGTGCGTTCCCCTCCGAGAGAGTGTCCAGAGTGCGCCCTGTGCCAGTGCAGTGAGAACGTCCACCGCGGCTCCCCTCCTCACCCTTGTGGATGTGCCCACCCAGCTGATGCCTCCCGGAAGTGCAGCATCCCTGAGAAAACCCTGGACTGCTGTTTACACTGTGGTAGCAATTTTAGGGCCCACACTAGGGAAGAGCCCAACAAGTATGAGGAGAATGGGAATGTTTCTAATCAGAGTTCGTATCTCCAAGTCAATGGGAACACCCATGCTGAAGAGAAACTATATCCAGGTGTGGAGGGTAGGAAAGATTTCACACGTTGTTCAAGTTTTCACCCTCATCACAGAGTCCATGTGGAAGAGACTCTCTGTAACTCTGAGTGTGGTAACCACTTCAGGCTGCCCCCACATTTCCAGGACTTCCCAGCCGTGCATCCCAGGGAGCAGCCTCCTAAACATTCACGCAGCTTTGGTCAAAGTTTGCGTGTTCAAGGCCATCAGCAACTTCACATCAGAGAGAAACCTTTTACTAGAGAGGGTAGGAATGGTTGTAGCTGGAGTTCCAGCCCCAAAGATCATCAGAAACAGAAGCCACACAAATGCAACACCTGTGGGAAAGGCTTCAGTCACAGATGGGTGCTTAACATTCACCAGAGAGTGCACACGGGAGAGAAACCATACAAGTGTGAGGAGTGTGGGAAGGAGTTCAGCCAGAGTGCCTACCTGCATGCCCACCAGAGAGTTCACACTGGGGAGAAGCCGTACAAGTGTGAGGAGTGTGGGAAGTCCTTCAGTCGGAGTTTCTACCTGCAAGGCCACCAGAGAGTTCACACCGGGGAGAAACCGTACAAGTGTGAGGAGTGTGGGAAGTCCTTCAGTCGGAGTTTCTACCTGCATGCCCACCAGAGAGTTCACACTGGGGAGAAGCCGTACAAGTGTGAGGAGTGTGGGAAGGGCTTCAGTCGGAATTCCTACCTGCAAGGCCACCAGAGAGTTCACTCTGGGGAGAAACCGTACAAGTGTGAGGAGTGTGGGAAGGGCTTCAGTTGGAGTTTTAATCTTCAGATTCATCAGCGGGTTCACACAGGAGAAAAGCCCTATAAATGTGGAGAATGTGGCAAAGGCTTCAGCAAGGCTTCAACTCTCCTGGCGCATGAGAGAGTCCACACGGGAGAGAAGCCTTACCAGTGTGATGAGTGTGGGAAGGGCTTCAGTCAGAAATCATACCTTCTAAGTCACCAGAGTGTTCATTCTGGAGAGAGACCATATGCATGTGAGGTGTGTGGGAACGGCTTCAGTCAGAGAGCGTATCTACAAGGTCACCATAGCGTCCATACCAGAGTAAAGCCATACACATGCGAGGTGTGTGGGAAAGGCTTCAGCTAGAGTTCCCGCCTGCAAGTTCATCACAGGGTCCACATGGTGAGGAAACCATACGCATGTGGGAAGTGCACCAAGGGATTCAGTGAGAGTTCCCGCCTCCAAGCCCATCAGAGGACCCACACAGAAGGAAGACCCTACAAGTGTGAACAGTGGGGTGAGAGCTTCAGTGGGTTTTCCACTCTCCAGGCCCATCAGAGGGTCCACACTGGGGAGAAGCCATACAAATGTGAGGTGTGTGGGAAGGACTTCAGCCAGAGGTCAAATCTTCAAGCTCATCAGAGAGTCCATACGGGAGAGAAACCCTACACGTGTGATGTGTGTGGTAAGGGTTTCCGTTGGAGTTCAGGCCTTCTGATCCATCAAAGAGTCCATAGCAGCTATAAGTTCTGTAGGAGGGAGGACTGTAGGAATAGTCATTCTTCTGATAATCTACGCAGAACTGAAGGTCTGTCAAATGCTCTTCTGTTTTGTTAATGAAAATGTAGTGTTTCTACCCAACATGAATGCCAGTCTTGGTTGGGAAGCAGCATGGTACAGAGCTCTGCCAAGAGTTTGTCAAAGTCTCAACGAGCTATTGCAGAGGATCAAGACCTCCCCAGCATGCATGCCAGCAGGAATTAAGAACAGTACAATCTTCATGTCCACTAGAACATAAGCTGGGTGAGAGAGAAGTTGTCCACCAAGCCTTTAAGACCAGACCGAGAGCAGTGGCTCAGCTATGGTGAGCACTGGCTGCTTTTGGAGACTATGTGGTATCTTATCCACATGGGGCCCAGACATATGTTCAGGCAAAATACTCATATGCAGAAAAATAAATAAACGAAACCATGTGTAGTCAGATGTTTCCTTCCCGACCACCCAGTCCCAAATAATCTCTCAGAGGCTTATATGAAGTACAAATGCTCAGCCAATAGCTCAGGCTTGTTACTAGCTAACTCTTAAATTAACCCATAATTCTTATCTATGTTTAGCTACATGTCTTGGTACTTTTTCTCAGTACAGCATTGTAGCATGAATTCTAATTAGTCTCATAAAAAAAAAAACCAGAGTCAGATATCAGGGGAAATGCCGAAAGATCAGAGAGACAAAGGAATAAGTCACAGCCACCTCCCACCTTGCCAACTTCTCAGCTAAAGAAGGGCCAAGGTCCAGTCTCTACCCTGCTTTATCATCTCTCTGCCCAGCCATACATATCATGTCCTGTCTCCTCCTCCCACGTGCAGGAATTAAAGCTATGTGCTTCCAGTGCTTGGTCTATGCTTAACTAGTCTAGCTCCTCACTCTGACCTTCAGACAAGTTTTATTGGTTAAAGCACAAGCAAAATATTACCTCATTTAACTTTTTTTGTCTAAAATAAAAAGGTTATAACTAATATAAGAAAAAATATGTAAATTAAGTGCAAAAACTATATATATTATATACAGGCAATAAGTACATCAACAATATCTAATCCATTTGCATTTGACAAATTCAGCGAAGATACTCCTATCTTGGTGATTCCAAGTTTTACCTAATTTACCTTCTATCCTAATTTGTAATACCCAAACTATCTTTTAATGTCTCTTCTCTACCTCTTAATCTTGAGTACTAGGATTAAAGGTGTGTACCACCACCTCCTAGCTTCTGACTGCTGGGATTAAAGGTGTGTATCACCACTGCCTGATCTCTGTAGCTTATGGCTGACTTTGCTTTCTGAATCATAAATCATAAACAATATATCACCACATTTAGCCTTATCTTGTTACCAGGTCCTCCATTATAATTGAGGACCAGGCTCCAAGACTGCTCTAACTATGTCTCTGTAATCTTGAGGGATAATTCTACTACAAGTTGACCACAAGTTTAATGTCTGCTTCACAAAAGGTCTTAATTAAAAAAAAGATATGGGGGTAAATGCTGAAAGATCAGAGAGACAAAGGACCAAACCATAGCCACTTCTCAACAGTTCCTCAGCTGTAAAAGGGCCAAGCTCCTCTCTCCTCCCTGTGTTATCACATCCTCTCCAACCAGCCATATTAGTTCCTGTTTCCTCCCAGGTGCTGGGACTAAAGGTATGTGCCACCACTGCCTGGCCTCTATGCTTAGCTAGTGTCTAGTTCCGCACTCCAATCTCCAGACAAGCTTCATTTGTTAAGGCACAAACAAAATATTACCACACAGCATCCTTATCTTGCTTCTTGTCCATGTCGGTGACTCTGACTCCACCCTTCCTCTTCCAAGAATCCTCACAGTCTGGCTCTTGCGCTCAATCTCTTCCTTCCCAGCTGTTGGCCAGTTAGCTTTTTATTGGCCAATGAGAGTGGTACACATTCATAGTGTACAAAAAGGTTGTTCACCGCACCCATGATCTTTCCTAACTCAAAGTTTTGTTCTATGTGTAAAAATAGGCAAAGATACAGCATTTGCCAGTTTATTTCAAAATGAATTGGGAGGGATATTACTAGACATACAAATACATGAATATCATTTGAAATGTAGGACCTCAAGCAGTTTGATTAGAAACCCTAACCCAGTCCTGAGCAGACAGGTGTAGAATTCCTTAAATTGGTCTTTCCTCTCTATGATTCACTGTTAGGGCTGGCTGAGTGTCCATGTGCATGTATGTATTATGTGTTTAAGCACAAGAATGGAGGGCAGAGGGGAATTTGAATTTCCTGGAACTGGGATTAGAGTTGGTTGTGCTGGGAACTGAACCCGGGGCCTTTAGAAGAGTGGTCAGTGGTCTTAACTGCTGAGCCATCTCTCCATTCCCTTGTTCATTCCTTCATCAGCCACCCACGGGAAGACTGAGCCCATGGTGGCTTTATCGACCAGCATCCTCTGAATTCCAAATAAGAGAAGATTCAGAGCTGCTTGGACGACTAACAGTGTTTGCCAGTATGTACAAATGCAGCAAAAAGAGGCGAGGCTTGGACTTGGCTCAGGCACTGACCTTGCTGCTGCTTTGTACAACTCTTTTTTTTTTTTTTTTTTTGGGAATTCACTTTTATTTTTCAGTTTCTCAAGACAGTGTTTCTCTATGTAGCCCTGGATGTCCCGGAACTCACTCTGCGGACAAGGCTGTCTGCGCACGCAGAGACCGCCTGCATCTGCTCCTGAGTTCAAGTGCTGGGACTCAAGGCGTGCACCGCCACTGCTGCATCTGCTCCTGAGTTCAAGTGCTGGGACTCAAGGCGTGCACCGCCACTGCTGCATCTGCTCCTGAGTTCAAGTGCTGGGACTCAAGGCGTGCACCGCCACTGCTGCATCTGCTCCTGAGTTCAAGTGCTGGGACTCAAGGCGTGCACCGCCACTGCTGCATCTGCTCCTGAGTTCAAGTGCTGGGACTCAAGGCGTGCACCGCCACTGTTGCATCTGCTCCTGAGTTCAAGTGCTGGGACTCAAGGCGTGCACCGCCACTGCTGCATCTGCTCCTGAGTTCAAGAGCTGGGACTCAAGGCGTGCACCGCCACTGCTGCATCTGCTCCTGAGTTCAAGTGCTGGGACTCAAGGCGTGCACCACCACTGCTGCATCTGCTCCTGAGTTCAAATGCTGGGACTCAAGGCGTGCACCGCCACTGCTGCATCTGCTCCTGAGTTCAAATGCTGGGACTAAAGGCGTGCACCGCCACTGCTGCATCTGCTCCTGAGTTCAAGTGCTGGGACTCAAGGCGTGCACCGCCACTGCTGCATCTGCTCCTGAGTTCAAGTGCTGGGACTCAAGGCGTGCACCGCCACTGCTGCATCTGCTCCTGAGTTCAAGAGCTGGGACTCAAGGCGTGCACCGCCACTGCTGCATCTGCTCCTGAGTTCAAGTGCTGGGACTCAAGGCGTGCACCGCCACTGCTGCATCTGCTCCTGAGTTCAAGTGCTGGGACTCAAGGCGTGCACCGCCACTGCTGCATCTGCTCCTGAGTTCAAGTGCTGGGACTCAAGGCGTGCACCGCCACTGCTGCCTGGCTTCTCCATGCAAACTGTTGCCTTCGTTTTGCTCATCAGGCAGAAGAATGATAAGTTAAGACCACTGTCTCAGCAGGATGTGGCTGAATAGACCTCTGTAACCTTCGATCAAAAGAGACGAAAGAGGCAGCAAGGGACACTCCTGGATCTTCAGACAACTAGACTGCCCCCGGGACCAGCAACAACAGGGAATCCTGGGAAAAGGGAAACTAAGGGCAGAGAGTCCTTTGTGGAACATACACGCAGGGATGGCTGAAGGCTGAGTGCATAGAATAGCAGGGACACTTGACAGCACTCCCACCGTGACCTTAGCTCAAAGCAACATCAGTAAGCCGGCTCAGTGACATCCGTGAGGTAACCACTGCAAGAGAGTGACCCGATTCCAGCCAGACTCCTGGAAAATTCCATTCGTTGGGCCACTGTAACGTTCTGGCAAAGCGGGTGTGCTCAGCTCCAGGTAAAACTGATTCTGCAACGATAAACGCACACTCGTCGAAAGTATGAGTATTTATTGTAGAAATTACTCCCAAGAGACAACCAAGCAACCCAGATGAGCAGAGTAGTTTTTCACCGCCGAACTGGAAGCCGGAAAAAGAGAGCTAGATGATCTGCTGCTCAGTCTTTTATTCCTTCCTCCGTACACGCCCAAGAGTGGGCCTGGCTAGTGACGTAGTTCACCGCCTACGTCCGTATACATCTTTAGTCATGCCTAAAGTGGGTGTGGTTAGCGGTGTGGTAAACCGCCCTTTTATTACCTCATCTGTATGCACCTCTAATATGTCTCATGGCTGATGGCGGAGTACCAAATTTCACCCTACAAAAACACCACGCCTTCCGTCCCTGTTGCCGTCCCCGTGCTATGTGGCATTTCCTTGAGCAACGAACACAACCCTTTGCTAAGTGACGGCAGACTAAGCACTGCAATGACAATTAGAAAAGGCCAAGTTCTGAGATTATCAGGGGCTCATGTAAGCCAGGCTTGGCTCAAATTTGCCGTATGAGGATAGCCTTGGTTTTATTGTTATGCCCATGACTCTAAGAAAAGGCAGATGTTATCACACATGGGCTGATAGGCTTCCATGGAAGTTGATTAGGCAACTGTAGCTTTTTTTTTCCACTCTTTGGGGGACCACCACTCAGCTCCCAGATAAACACATAGAGACTTATTCTTACTTATGAATGCTCATGCCCAGTTTTAGTTTGGCTCGTTTCTAGCCAGATTTTCTTTAATTATCTATCTTTTGCCTCTGGACTTTCATGGCTTGTTGTGTAGCTGGGTGGCAAGCCCCAAGTGTCCTCTCTCCCCCTTCTTCTATTCGTTCTCTCTGCCTGCCAGCCCTGCCTATCCTGTCTCCTGTCTTGCTATTGGCCATTCGGATCTTTATTAGAGCAATCGGGAGTTTTGGACAGGCAAAGTTACACAGTTTCACAGAGTTAAACAAATGCAACATAAAAGAATGTATCATATCTCTGTACCAATTAACAAACATTCCACAGCATAAATAAATATAACATCTTAAAATAATATTCTAGGACGGGCGTTGGTGGCATAAGCCTTTAATCTCAGCACTGGGGAGGCAGAGGCAGGCAGATCTCTGTGAGTTCGAGGCCAGTCTGGTCTACAGAGCAAGTTCCAGGTCAACCTCCAAAACAGTACAGAGAAACACTGTCTCAAAAAACCAAAAAAAAATTCTACACCAGGGGACATGGAGATTCTGGAACAGAAAACTTATAAAGAATGCTTCTGAATCTGACATACACAATTAGCAGGTTTAGGCAGGAAGATCCTGAATTCGAGGCCAGCTGTCTCAACAACTACAAAAATCATGAGTGACATTACTGAAAAAGTAAGAGAACTTGACTGTAGATCGATAGAAATAATCCAGGCTGAACCTGGCATGGAGATGCATTCGTGTAATGCCAGGACTTGGATGGCGGAGCCAGAAGGGTTAGGAGTTGAGACTTTTATCACCTACATGACATCTGCCTTTTTATTTTTTGGTTGTGAGCCTAGCCTTTAACGGCTGAGCCATCTCTCCAGCCCGACATCTGCCTTTTTAAAAAAGCAAAACCCAAAATGTGAGGAAAATAAGCATTCAAGAGTAGAATAACATGGGAGGCCTAATATTTTAATTTGGTGGTTAGAAACTCATGGCAGAAAGCAGGGAGAGAGAACAGGGAAAGAGAGACCAGGGAAAATAAAAAAGTATCTGAGTGTTAGGAGTTGAGAACTTTCAAAAACTAGTAAAGGACCTCACCTAGATTCAATAGTCATGCAGAACACCAGGGTGTGGCAGCATGGGCTTTGAGGAAATGGTGGCTAGGAGAATAAGGAGTCCAAGATACAGAATCTACACAAGGTGAACAAGTCTGGGGTACACAATGAGTTCTAGTGCAACCTGAACTTAAAGATGATCCTACCAAAAAAGAAAGAAAGAAAGAAAGAAAGAAAGAAAGAAAGAAAGAAAGAAAGAAACGCCACCCCACCAACAGGTGTGGTGGCACAAGGCTTTGATCTCAGCAAGTCCATCTCTGTGAGTTCAAGGCCAGCCAGGTCTACACAGTGAATTCTAGGGCAGCCAGAGTTGTTATACAGAGAAACCCTGCCTCAAAACAAGCAAACACAAAGAAGAAGAAAAAGAGGGTGAAGTGCACCGTATATGCTATTCCCAGAGGGGAGATGGGACAGGGTCAGCAGGGCTAATGGAGCAATGCGGCACAGGGGGATCTCAGGCCCTCAAGAGCATCTCAGATGAGCACGCACCGGCCTAGGGACTGCTAACTCCAGTCTCTGCAGGGGAGAGGCCAAGCTCCCAGGAACTGAAACCCTACCTCCTCTGCGGTCCAGGCCTCAGCTCCAGACCCGCCCTGCCAATCCCACTCCCCATCAAGGACAGAGAACTAGGTTCCTTTTGTCCTTTCACGGGGCCTCCGAGAAAGCCCTGGACCATCAGTGCGGCCATCAACACTGTGTCTGTCCATTCTGTGTGCGTGAGGTGCCGGCGGACACCAGAAGAGGGTCTTGGGTCCTCTGCCACTGGGGTTCATGACAGTTGCTTGTCACCATGTAGGTGAGACATCTTTCTAGCCCCGAGAGAGCTTTGCATACAACATACAGCTATATTAACGGTAATATTTATTAAGATTTATTCTCTCTGTGGTGTGTGTGTGCGCGCACGTGCGCGCGCGAGCGCGTGCAGTTGCTTTAGAAGGGAGGCCAGAGGGCGCTGGATCCCCTGGAACTAGAGATACATGTGGTTGTGAGCTGTCCAACGTGGGTGATGAGAACCAAACCTGGGTCCTCTGTAAGCACAGCGTGTACTCTTAACCACAGGGCCATCTATCTATCCAATGTACTTGATTTTTAAAAATGTACATTAGTTTTGATTTTCATATTAACTCCTAAAGCAACACAAAGTAACCTGTTGTTCGAGTGGGCTCCAGCTGTAAAGTGTCTCAGCAAAGTCATAAACAGTCTCCTTGGTGTCCCCACCCAACCCTATTTGGGGAGTCACAGATCTGAGGCACAGCACCTACCGTTTGAAGAAGCCACCAGTGACAAAGCTCTTTTGTGATTCTGCTCTGGGAAACATTTGGTTCAGATGGACAGCTGTCACCCACCCTGCACATGTATGTGGTGGGTGAGCTCACGGCAAGAGTTTGGAGTTTGTACCTTTATCATTGTGTACACATTCAGGCAGGGGTGAAGATGTTGCCTCACCGACTTTATGTGACTCCAGCAAGCTATATTCTGTATACACATACCCATTAACCTCAGGAAAAGTTGAGAAGTGGCATGGCTGGGGTCAAACATAATTTCAATTTGATGTTTATTGAACCCACTTTCAAAGTAGGAGAGAACGTCCGGCCTGGTTTGGTTTCTGTTTCTGTGCTGAGACACTGAGCAAAACCACCTTGGGGGAGAAAGGGTTACACATGCCAGCCACAGCTGATCAGCAAGGGAAGCCGGAGGAGGGAACACTGCTTGCAGGCTTGCTGTTTCGTGGCTTGCCAGGCATCTGTTTGTTTGAAACAGTCTCGCTATGTTGCTCTAACTGTCCTGGAATTCACTCTGTAGACCACGCCAGCCAGCTCAGAATTCACAGGGATCCACCTGCCTCTGCCTCCTAAGTGCTGGGATTAAGAGCACCAGGCCTGGCTGCTGGACTATTTTTTTAATACAACCCAGGACGGCTTGCCCGGGGCGGAGTACCAATCACAGCGGGTGGGACCCTCCCCTCCCACACCAATCACGAATAAAGAAAATGTCCACAAACTTGCCTACAGATCACTCTCATACGGGCATCTTTTCAGTTGAGGAGCCTTCTTCCTTTAGGGCTAGTGTCAAGTTGACAGTCTGTAACTCCAGCACCAGGGGACCTGACACCCTCTTCTGGTCTTCAAAGGTACCTGCACTCCCATACAAACAAATAAAAATGAGTCTGGTTTTTAAAAAGAATCGAATGGTTGTATAACAGTGGATTTAGTCTCTACAATACGCTCCTCCAGACCTAGTTCTGCTCTTCTCTGGGGTATTCTAGGCAAGGGCTCTGATGCTGCCGAGCCGACCTCCCACAGCTGCACAGTTCAAGCTTTAAACTTTTGTTATGTAATATAATATGAGACATCAATGCTTAAAAAAAAAAGAATCCACAGGTGTCTTTTATGGCATTTCAGAAATGAACAAAGGAATAGCAATCGGGAGAACCAGTTCCCGAAAAGCGACTTCCACTGAGTTCACTCTAGATAAAACCGCGTGAAACTTCTGGGCGCTTTAGCGTTCTGGGGAATGTAGTCCGGGAGACGAGCAAGAGCGAGGCAGCTTCCACTGAGGCATTCTGGGAATTGTAGTTCCGGGACCAGCGGCGGCCGAGATCGCTTCCGCTCCTGCAAGGCGAGGCTGCCTGGTGGCGGTTCTGGTGAGCAGAGATCCTGGAGCTTCCTGTGGCCCATCTTCTGTGATCGTGCCCCCGGAGTCCCCCGCAGGGACCGAGGCTGCGGCCTGCGGGGAAGCGGGGCTGCAGCCGGGGCCTCTCTCGCTGGACTCCGCCAGAGGCGGCGCTGCCAGGGATTCCTGGACGGTGCATCGCAGCTGCTCGCCGAGCCAGAATCTCCCGCGGGAGCCCGGGAGAGCAGCTGTGATGACAGATGGCCTGACGACCTAAGCGGTATGCGACTCAGGCTTTTAAATGCAATACTTTGGCCTTTATTCACTTGGACAGGGGGGCGTGCCAGCGTGTGTACGGTGGAGGTCAGAAGGCAACTTGTGGGAGTCGGGTCTCTCCGTCCTCCGTGTGGGGTCCAGAGACTTGAGCCAAGGAGGTCAGACTCCGCGGCAGTCACCCCTACCCCCTGAGACATCTCACCGGCCCAAACTCCTTTTCCTTGGAGAGGGTTTTAGATTTCTATCGGTTATTACTTTAACGCGCACGGGAAAAGAGACTTCGTGGAGGCTCTTGCAGATGAGCAATGACTGCTAGTAATTAAAGCTTTTGGAGCGGGAGTCATAGGGTGATACAATTCAACTCCCACGGTTGGAGACAATTATGTTTAGATAGCCGATGACAATGAACGGACCTTCTGAGCGTGATGGTGACTCACGACACAGCGTTCGTCGGTTGTGAGCAGTGAAATTAAGAGCGCCCGCCGCAGCCCCGAAGCTGCAGGACACAGAGAATGTGGGCTTTGCCCTAACGTAAGTGAGGTGGAGCACGGGTGGCCTGGAGGCTAACCCTTAGGTAGGAAAGCCAGGTGGACGCGCACAGACTTGGACTGCCAGCGCTTGGGGCTGATGGACAAGCTCAGGACGTCGCGCAGACTGCCTGTGCTAGCCATGCTCTCACGAAACCCTTCCTTCCCCCAGCTTGCGTCCCAGAGCCCGGCCTTGACCCAGAGAGAAGAAGAGAACAATGACCAAGTTTCAGGTACGCTGGTTAGGCTTCCCGCCGCCCCCCTCACCCCACTCCCACCCCCGGGCTAGGGACTGAAAACTGGACTCCTGCAGGCGGGGCAAGCCTGTGCAGCCAAGCCACACTGAAAGTGCTAAGGGGTGTTGCTGAGAAGAAAGGTTCATAACGGGGAAGCCTGTGCTCAAAGCACGCTGCACTGACAGTCACTGGAAATTCACCACGGAGGGCCTCACCCTCCCTGGGGATCGGAGGGGAGATTGGGTGGGGGACTGGGGGACCTGGTGGGCAGGGCGGGGGAGGAGAGGGGGAGAGGGAGCTGGGATTGACATGTGAAACAAGATTGTTTCTAACCTAAATAAAAAAGAATAATTATCATTTTTAAAAAATAAAATAATAAAAATAAAGCACGTTGCACACGTGAAATTGTAAAAGGGTACATTTTGAAATGGAAACAGTGGGCTGAAGAGGCGGCTCAGCTGTTAAGCTGCTCTTCCTGAGGCTAGGTTCAGTTCTCAGCGCACACTTCGGATAGCTCACAATTGCCTGTAACCCCAGCTCCAGGGTGCCCCCTTCTGGCCTTCCAGGGCATCTGCACACACATGTACACACACATGGGCATACAACATACAGATACATTAAAAAACTTAAGTTCATGTACATTTTAAAAAGTAACATCGTGCCGGGCGTTGGTGGCGCACGCCTTTAATCCCAGCACTCGGGAGGCAGAGGCAGGCGGATCTCTGTGAGTTCGAGACCAGCCTGGACTACCAAGCGAGTTCCAGGACAGCCTCCAAAGCCACAGAGAAACTCTGTCTCGAAAAACCAAAAAAAAAAAAAAAAAAAAAAAAAGTAACATCGTTTCCCATGATATGCTGATTTCATTTTGCAAGTGAGTATGAGTTCTCCATATTGGTGTGGTTTATGTTTTTTTTTTTATTATTTTTAAATCTTGTCCTGGTTGGAGCAGGCCAAGGCACTCATGTAGACGTCAGAGGACAGCTTTGGGGAGCTGGGCCCTCTTCCACCTTGCAGGGTCTCCTGTGTGTGTGACTGTGTGGAGACAGGCAGGTCCCTGGTACTCAGCCACCTTAGCCTGCTTGGCAAACCCCAGGCCACCGAAAGACACTGACTCCAAAACAGAAAAAGGCGGCTGGCACTTGAAGAAGGACAACAGAGGTTGTCTTCTGGCCTCTAAATGCGTGTGCACACGTAAGTGCATGGGCTAAACCCTTCCTTTTTAATTAGACAAAAAGGGGGAAATGCCGTGGGACAATCTTTTTCTGCGCTACGAAGATGTATCATTCGCATTGGTTAATGAAAAGCTGGCAGGCCAGTAGCCGGGCAGGAAGTCAGGCGGGAAAGCCAGCCTGAGAATGATGGGAAGAAGGAGGGGGGTCTCGGGAGAGATGCCAGCCAGCCACCGAGCAAGCAGGACGTGTAAAAACTGAGGTAACAACCCACGAGCCATGTGACAAAGCATAGCTAGAAATACGGCTGGTTTGAGTGTAGGAGTGAGCTAGTAACAAGCCTGAGCTATTGGCTGGGCATTTGTAATTTATATCCAGCCTCTGAGTCGGTTATTTGGGACCGGGCGGTCAGGAGAGAAGCGTTCACCTACACGCATGCGTACTTGCGTACACGCCATGCATGCGGACTTGCGTACGCGCATGCACATAGAAGACTGGTCACATTCATTTGCCGTATTTGGCACCCTGAGCATTCATATCTGAACCGTCAGGGAGTGTCTGGCCGCCGCCATCTGCACAGCGTCAGAGGTGGGCCACCTGGGGTGATAGAGGGATGAGGGAAGGACAGACATACAGACACGCTGGGATCAGGCGACGAGTCGTGTGCTCCGATGGAGACACTCCAGCAGCTGGAAACTCAGCGCGTTTGTGATGCACCACCGAGCACTTAGGAGGCCGAGGCACGTTTCAGTTAGCTTAAACATGAATTCAACGGGGATATTTCACATGCTCTTCAGCCAAGTTCTGTAACTACCCCCGATCAGTCCCAAGGAGCGAATGCATTTGCTTTGCTAATAACAGTGTCAGGTTTCCCAGTTAATTTGGAGACAGTCAGTAACCCTCATTCTCTGTATTCTGGCCTAACCTGGGCTCTTTTAAAAATATTGGGTACTTTGGTAAGCGATTAAAAGTAGCAGTTTTCTGAAACTTTCACTTAATTCAAAAATTTTACGTTTATTTTATTTGTATGGATGGTACAATTAAAAAATACATATATACACACATGTACATATACACACATATACATACATATTTATATATGTATATATATTATATATGATGGTAGTGTTATTGGACATATGCTGGCTGCTTAATGTGTAGCCTACCCGGTCGTAGATCCTTCCTGTGGTCTCATTTAACCCCTTCAGGGACATTGTGATTAGGTACAGTTACACAGGGGGTGAAACCAAGAAGCTAAGAAGTCAGTGTCTGCCGGGCGGTGATGGCGCATGCCTTTAATCCCAGCACTCGGGAGGCAGAGGCAGGCGGATCTCTGTGAGTTCGAGGCCAGGCTGGACCGACAGCCTCCAAAACAATACAGAGAAACCCTGTCTCTAAAAACCAAAAAAAAAAAAAAAAAAAAAAAGAAGTCAGTGTCCAGGCTCATGAGGCCAGGGATGCACAGAGCCTTGGAGCTCGAAGAGTCCCTAAGATTTGCAGAGCTCGTGCTCACAGCTGTGGTGCTGAACACAGCTGCTGTTGGCAGAGGCGTGTCCCCGAGACCAGAATAGAGCTGCTGTCTGTCCCAGAAGGTTCCCGCAGGCCTGTTGGATTGACAGGCCTAAGGAGATAATGAGTGATTCAGACCTGAGTGCGGTCTGCCAAGTACTCCAGGACACGGAAGCATTTCATACGGGGAACTTTGGGATTTGGAAATACTTGCACAGACTTGACGAATAAAGAATTATGAATCTGAAATCCCTAATGTTCCGCCAACACAAAACATTTCCAAGTGATGTCACCACTCACGAAGTGGGTTTCAAAACGTTTTGGATTTGGGGATGAAGGTATGCCCGGGCTTGCAGCACAGAGCACAGTACTCCCGACACGGGTTTGTGCTCCCAACTCTAAAGTCTGTGGCTTCCTCTTTAGCAGCGATGGTCCCAGGGATAGTTACACAAGAGGCACTGGCGTCCCTTACACCAGTGTTTTCCGGGCAAAAGTTTCCCGGGTCCTAGTGACATTGAGTATGAAACTGAGGTGGCACCTGTTTGCTGTCACAGGAGGCGGTGACGTTCAGGGACGTGGCCGTGGTCTTCAGTGAGGAGGAGCTGGGGCTGCTGGACGCTGCCCAGAGGAAGCTGTACCGTGACGTGATGCTGGAGACCTTCAGGAACCTTCTGTCAGTGGGTGAGGACGGTGGCCTGTGTTCCTGGGCAGTGCCCCAAGCTTACATCCGGTGTCTCCCTCAGTTGTGCTCACTGGTTTCCTGTTAGGTTTATTTATTTTCTATGTTATGTATATCTGGGTTTTTGTCTTTTTTATGTTTGTTTTGTTTTGGTTTTGGTTTTTTTCCCTGAATGGTGCCCTCAGAGACCAGAAGAGGGTATCACACCCCCTGGAACTGGAGTAGTAGACAGTTTGGAGCCATTGTGTGGGTGTTGCAAACCCAGCGTGGGTCTTCTGGAAGACCAGCCAGTGCTCTGAATCATGTCTCCAACCCCTCCACTGTATTTTTAAAAAATGCGTTTTACACATTAGATGCTGTTCTATGGAATTTTTCTAAAACATCTTTATGTATATGTGAGTGTGCATGCAGGTGTGTGTGTGTGTCTTAGTGTTTGTGGGTGACTGTATGTGTCTGCCTTAGTCAATGTCCTGTGCTACTGTGGGGAGACCCCATGACCATGACAACTTTTATAAAGGAAATCGTTCAATTGGGGCTGGCTTACAGTTTCAGAGGTTCAGTCCGTTATCATCCTGGTGGGAAGCATGGCGGCATGCTGGCGGATATAACAGCTGAGGGTTTTACATCCACACTCGGAGACAGCAAGAAGAGAGACACAGTGGGCTTGGCTTGATCCTTTGAAACCGCAGACCCCGCCCCCAGTTCCTCCAACAAGACCACACCTACTGCAGCAAGGCCACGCCTCCTAATAGAGCCATCCTCTATAAACCTATTGGAGACATTTTCATTCAAAGCACCACACGCCACTCCTGGGTGCCCGTATCAGAATGCAAAAGCGCCTTTAGTCCAGCTTCAAAATCCCTTATCCATACATTATCACAGTCTCATTTCTGTTTAAAAGTTCACAATTCAATGTCTCTTCTAGACTCGGGGCAGTCGCTTAAAATCAAAGAGAAAAAGCAGATCACAGGCTTCCAACGTACAGTGGCACAGGATGCGCATTACCGTTCTGTTAAAACGTAGGGACGGGAGCACAGTGAGGAAATGCTGGACCAGAGCAGGACTGAAAGCCAGCTGGGGAATCCCAAACTCTGCATCTCCTGTCTGACGTCACAGCGTTCTTCAGAGCTTCGGCTCCTTCCGGCTTTGTTGACCACAGCTCACTTGTCTCTCTTGGGCTGGTTCCATGCCCCGGTAGCTGCTCTCCTCGGCAGGCACCCATGACTCTGGCACCTCTAACATCTTGGGGTCTCCATGCCATCCAGGCTTCTCCTTCTCAGCTTCACACGATGGCCTCTCTGGGCCTCCATTCAGGGACACCCCAACACATGTCTGACCTCAGCAGCTTCCCTTAGCTGTGGAGGGAGATCCCACAACCCCTTTCTTGCATCATTGACCCAGACAGCTAAGGGCAGCTACCAGAGCTCTTGTGGGGGGTGCTTCCCCTCCCCCAACCCCAACCAGAGAGTTCAGCTGTGCTGCTCCCTCAGAACTTGGGCTTCACATTTTACTCAGTAAAATCAAGTTGTTACTCGATTTTTTTTGTTTGGTTTTTGGTTTTGTTCAAGACAGGATTTCTCTGTGTAACAGCTCTGACTGTCCTGGAACTCACTCTGTAGACCAGGCTAGACTTGATCTCACAGAGACCCGCCTGCCTCTGCCTCCCAAGTGCTGGGAATAAAGGTGTGCGCCACCACCAGAGTTCTTTGGTTTTGTGGCAAAATCTTACTATGATGCTCCTGCCTTGTCACGCCTGTCTGTATTAGCCCCATGATGCAGGGCCATATTTCTTGGACTGGTGTTTAACGGACTGCGATTAGGACCAGCCAAACGGCCCCTCATCCATTCCTGAGTAGGGTAGTGTGGATGAGGGAAGGCCAGCTATAGGCGTTAAAGGAAAGACGGAGACATAGGGCATTATCAGGAGGGCAGAATCAGTCATTACTGAAGGCGCTCAGTCTATTTATGCATCAATCTTAAGTAACCAACCAAAGGTGGGGAAGTGGCAGAAGACTTCTACTGTCATGGGTAAAGGGCAAATGGCAGTTACTTCCCTTAATCCTAAGGACACTCCGCAGCTGCATGCCCACTTGGCCATCAGGCGCTGCAGCTCCATCACAGCGAGGTCACCTAGCCTTCAGGATGAGTGTAAACTCGCCTGGGGCTAGGTCTATTGTCATTTACATAGGAGCCATTCACTAAGGAGGCTAGGGCTTCCTGCAGCCATTAAGCTAATATCTTAAAGATAATAGAAGCCAGTCTCAGAACTCGGGGCAGGATGGAATAGATTTCCAATACACAGGCCGGGCAGACACTGGCTCCGCTTTCCAAGCACTAGGATGCTGGTTTGGTCCACTGTGCCCGGCTGGGACCCACCTTCCGAGGGCTCACACTTCCAGCTCTGCCAATGTCCATTGTTTTCCTGCATCTGTCTCTGCCGAGAATGTTCTTCCCTGGTGAAGTGCCATGCTCTCTCCCTCCCTCCCTCCCTCTCTGTCTCCCCTCTGTCTCTTTCTTCCCCCCCCTCTCTCTCCCTCTGTCTCTCTCTCTCCCTCCCCTCCCTCTCCCCCTCTCTCTCCTCTCTCTCCCCCTCTCTCTCCTCCTCCATCTCCCCCCTCTCTCTCTCCCTCTCCCCCCTCTCTCTCCCCCCTCTCTCCTCCTCCATCTCCCCCCTCTCTCTCTCCCTCTCTCCCCCTCTCTCCCCCTCCATCTCCCCTCTCTCTCTCCCTCTTCCCCTCCCCCTCTCCCCCTCTCTCTCCCTCTCCCCCTCTCTCTCTCCCTCTCTCTCTCCCTCCCCCCTCTCTGCCTCTCCCCCTCCCTCTTCCCTTCCTCCTCACCCCTCTCAGGGACTCTGCCTGTCCTGCTCCCGCAGACTGACCTGCCTGTCCTGCTCCCGCAGACTGACCTGCCTGTCCTGCTCACTCTCCACGCTCTGCCCTTGCCTCTGCTGGCCTCAGAACACCACCGGACTCCTTACCATGGGTCTAGTTTTAGTTATGGCGGCATACGCCAGACTCCCAAGTGTGCCCTGAGCAGCGGCTCCGTGAAGCCTGCAGGGCCATCCATCCTGACCCCCGACCTGTTCTCCTCCCTCTTCCTCCCACTGACTTTGTTCCCAGTGGTCATACAAGCCACTGAGCTGCATCCCAGGTTCACTGGAGCTTGGATATGTTGTCTTACTGGTTTATTAAATAAAGCACTGTTGGCCAATAGGGAAGCAAGACAGGTGGGACTAGGAGTCGAGGAGGATTCTGGGAAACAGAGGCACAGTCAGTCAGGATGTAGGACACCAGAGGAGAGAGGTCCGGACCCTTTTCTCTGGTAAGAGAAGACCACATGGAAGTACTCAGATGAACAGTTATGGTCAAATATTTGGGGGCTGAGACAGCTCAGTACCCAGGCGGCTGGCAGGAAGACTACACGTTACAATAGTTCACCTGTTTCCTTTTTCAGCCTCAGAATTCGTTTGGTTCTCTTTTGTTGTCTCCTGTCCTGAAAGGTTGTCCGCGTGTCATTGTCTGGTCTCCTAGGGAGACCAGTTGGTCAGCGTTGTAACCTTTGTTATTACGTCAGGACATCTGCTGCTCTGGCTGCCAGCTGAGATCCGTGGTCTCTGAGCCCCTGCCCCCAATCCTCTGCGAGCCTGGACACCTTAGGTAGGAGAGCAGGCGTTTCAAGGAAACCCTGACCCTGCACCCTGCCTCTTCCCAGAGGAGGCCTTCCCTACTCAGCAGGCGTGTGTGGAGCCTTGCTCTCTGACTGCTTTAGCTGCCTTCTAGTAGTTTCCAAGTGAGCGTGTGTGATGAAGTCCTTCCAGTCTCCTCCTACACACCACACACACACATACACACACATACATACACACACACACACACACACACACACACACACACACGCTCGTGCTCTCTCTGGTGGTGAATGCACATGCACGCGCACACACACACACACACACGAGTGTTTTCTCTGGTGGTAAATGCACATGCATGCACGCACACACACACACACACACACACAAACACGCTCGTGCTCTCTCTGGCAGTGACTTCCTCTAGCTGGACCTCGGTTCCTGAGCCTCTGCTGTTCAGTTCAGTTCCAGTGTGTGTCAGCTCTTTCCCTCAGCCTTGACGTTCATGTGCCCCTCGTGAGACTCTCACCCTGGCTCCGAGTCAGGTGAGCCAGATGGGTCTCCCTGCCAAGCAGGCCCGGTCCTCTCTGCTCTCAGGGAGGAGTCAACCATGTGTACTCCAGCCCACAAAACCCCTCACGTAAAACACGATGAAAAGTGCCCCCCCCCACCATTATCCATCTGCACAGCTACACACAGGCTGTGTGGGGCAGGCGTGAGGCTGTCTTTGCTCCTGGGCCCACTCCAAATTTCCCACCGCGTCAAACTCTCGAGCGCACGCTGTCTTTGTCATTGACCCTTATTCCCAGAGCTCCTGGAGGTTGGTCTTCAGCGCCGGTCTCTAGTTAATGTTCCCAGGGAGAAACGAGGCCCTCTGATGTCCCTTTCCATTCTGTGTTCCTTCAGGAGGCCAGGGTCCAAACCAGATGGAGACGCTTCACGCATCAGGGTTAAGGTGCCTCTTACAGGGGCAGTTTCCATGCTGGCAGATGACGAGCCATGATGTCAACGAAGTCTCCAGAACGCCGGGTGCCAGGGCAAACACTCAAGGAAAGGGTTCTCCCCGGGCCTCCATGGGTGACGGCTGTCTTGAGAGTGTCCCAGGAGGCCGTGCCAGCGTGGCTGAAAACCAGGAGTGCCTGTCTGGGAGAGCTCAGGGCTCTTGGAGCAAAACCCGTCTGTCACCGAGCCATGGGAGTAACTGTCAGCGGACTCGGGGGAAACCCGAGCCACAGCCGAAGTCTCCAGGCGTTGACATCCCGAGTTGCATTTCCCAGCGTGATGGTGACGAAGGAGACGAAGCCCACGGCCGTGGTGACGACTGCAGGAAAGCCAGTTCTGCGGTGTTGCCGCGTCGTGTTTGCACAGGACAGATGTCCTGCCAGGGCAGCCAGGGCGCGGAAGCCTCCAGTGACAGCCCCAGCCGGGGCCTCCATCATCACCATCACCAGCAGCAGCAGCAGCAGCAGGCCCCCTTAGGAAGCAAGTCCCCCGCGCACCGCGCACAGGAGGACACTGAGCACAGCCCCACTGTCCCCCTCCCGGGGAAGAAACGCTATTGGTGTGACGCCTGCGGCAAGGGCTTCAGCCAGAGCTCCAACCTGCAGACGCACCAGAGGGTGCACACCGGGGAGAAGCCGTACACGTGCGCCCAGTGCGGGAAGAGTTTCAACCAGAGCTCGCACCTGTCCGCGCATGCGCCCGTCCACACCGGCGAGAAGCCCTACCGCTGCGAGCGCTGCGGCAAAGGCTTCAGCCGCAGCACCGACCTCAACATCCACGGGCGCGTGCACACCGGCGAGAAGCCTTACCGGTGCCGGGCGTGCGGCAGGGGCTTCGCTCAGCGCTCGCACCTGCAGGCGCACGAGAGGACCCACACCGGGGAGAAGCCGTACGCGTGCGGGGCCTGCGGCAAGCGCTTCAGCTGCAGCTCGAACCTGCACACCCACCAGAGGGTGCACACCGAGGAGAAGCCGTACGCGTGCGGGGACTGCGGCAAGCGCTTCAGCCTGAGCTTCAACCTGCACAGCCACCGGCGCGTGCACACCGGGGAGAAGCCGTACGCGTGCCCCGAGTGCGGCAAGGGCTTCGGCTCGGCCTCGAGCTTCCAGAGCCACCGGCGGGTCCACACCGGGGAGAGGCCGTTCCGCTGCGCTGTGTGCGGCAAGGGCTTCAGCCAGAGCTCGTACTTCCAAGCCCACCAGCGGGTGCACACCGGCGAGAAGCCGTACGCGTGCGGGGTGTGCGGGAAGCGCTTCAACTGGAGCCTGAACCTCCACAATCACCAGCGCGTGCACACCGGGGAGAAGCCCTACGTGTGTGAGGCGTGCGGCAAGGGCTTCAGCCAGGCCTCGAACCTGCAGGCGCACCAGAGCGTGCACACCGGCGAGAGGCCGTTCAGATGCGCCGCGTGCCCCAAGCGCTTCAGCCAGGCCTCCCACCTGCAGGCCCACCAGCGGGTGCACACCGGGGAGAGGCCCTACGCGTGCCCCACTTGCGGGAAGGCCTTCAGCCAGAGATCCAACCTCCAGGTCCATCAGATCGTGCACACCGGGGAGAAGCCGTTCAAGTGTGAGGAGTGCGGCAAGGAGTTCAGCTGGAGCGCGGGGCTCAGCGCCCACCAGAGGGTCCACACGGGCGAGAAGCCCTACACGTGCCAGCAGTGCGGCAAGCGCTTCAGCCAGGCCTCGCACTTCCACACGCACCAGCGGGTGCACACCGGGGAGAGGCCCTACATCTGCAGCGTCTGCTCCAAGGCCTTCAGCCAGAGGTCGCATCTGGTCTACCACCAGCGCGTCCATACCGCGGGGAATCCGTAGCAGCTTTGTGTCGCCAACTGGCCGGGGACAACACCCCCCCCCACACCTCCCACACCCCGTCTCAGAGCCTTCGGGGACTTTTCACAGGGGAGGTGCGCCTCCGTTTGCAGAGATGGATTCTTTACGAATGTTGCAAGTCCCGGATGAGAGGACGGTTGCTCTGTACAGTCACCGCTTAGCAAAGAGTTGTCACCCTCAGGGGACACACAGCAGGGAAACCTCAGCGTCCATCCAGGTCTTGGCTGAGAGGCCACGGGGAGGGCTTTAACGGAAGTGGGAGAGGCCGGCGAGTGTTGACAAGCGTCACTTCCTCGGAGGAAACGCTCCTCTGTATTCTACTATGCAGAGCTGGGTGTGGCCCAGGCCGCCCACCATTCCTGACGCTGAGAAGGGTATATGAGTAAGGCTCGTATTTGAATGCTAGCCAGTCCCCAACCCTGCGCTCGTACTGCTTCATATTCATCAGTGACCCCATAAGGAGCCTTAAATCATCTCCCGGATGCACGGGCTTCCCACTCCCTCTGTAGTGTGTGGCCTGCCCCTTCCGGCCAGGGAGCTTTGTACAACATAGCTAGCATCTCTGTACTCTATGGCTCTTAATATTTGTACTGTATAGACTAGAAAGATGCTTTTTTAAAAAATCTGTATTTATGAGACTAGCAACATGAACCGAAATGTATTCCACTGGAATTTTGTGGCCCTGAGTTCACTGGGACAGGGTTTTTACTGTAACCAACACCGCAGATGTTTTTACAAAGTACAGGTGACAAAAAGGCTTAAGTAGTTGCTCCCTGCGCCCCCCCCCCCGTCCTTCCCTGCACCGTCTTGCTGAGCTTCTTGCCCCGTGGTTTAGACTGATTTGTGCTGCTCCCACATTTGTATCACATATAAAGGACAGTTACTTCGTACAGCTCCAGAAACTGTGACGGTTAGGGGTCATCTGCTAGCAGGAGGTGTGTAGGAATGATCTAGGGAGGGCGGGAGGTGGTGGCCCCCACATGGTGGCTCATGACGTCTCCAGCAACAGTTGCATGGGATCTGATGCCCTCTTCTGACCTCCAAGGGCACGCGCGCACGCGAGCGCGCGCACACACACTCAGGGCATATACACACAAGCATTCATTCACATAAATAAATCTAAAACCTCGAAGACCCAGGAAGAATGCAGGATCCCACAGCCTGAGCGCCACTGTGAATTAGGGCCCTCCTGACAGCCATTGCTCAAGTCCTGCCTCTTAAATATCTGTGCTATGGAAATTGCCTCCAATGGCTGTGATGAACACAGTCTCTACAAAGTGCCTTGGGGAGGAAGGGCTCATTCTACTCTTCCCTGTCACAGTCCATCCCTGAGGGAAGTCAGGGCAGGAACCTGGAGGCAGGAACCAGAGGCCAGGAAGAACAACGTTTAGTGGCCTCCTCCCCCTGGATCAGTCAGCCTAATTTATTCCTCCCTCCCTCACTCCTTTCCTCTTTCCCTCCCTCTCTCCCTCCCTCCCTCTTTCTTCCTTCCTTCCTTCCTTCCTTCCTTCCTTTCTTTCTTTCTTTCTTTCTCTCAAACAGAGTTTCCGTGTAACCCTGGCTGTCCTGGAACTCACAGAGATCCGCCTGCCTCTGCCTCCTTTGTGCTGGGACTAAAGCCGTGGCCACCACCGCCTAGCACAGCCTACGTTCTTATACATCTCAGGACCATCTGCCTAGGGGAGGCACCACCAAAGGGAATCAGCATTACTCAAGAAAATATTCCACAGACATCCCTACAGACCAGTCTGATGGAGGAGTCTTCGTAATTGACGGCTCCTCTCCCCATGTGACTGCAGTCTGTGTCAAGCTGACAAGCTGATTAGGACAAGTGCACATTCAAACCACAGCAAGCAGATTGCAGGCCCCTTCGGTCTCATTTCCCAACGCCTATTGCAACTTGGGAAGGAGAGGCAGGAGGATCAGAAGTTGAAAGTCATCCTCAGCCAAGAAGCAGAGTTTGAGGCCAGCCTGGGCTACATATGACCCTATCAGGGCTGGAGAGATGGCTCAGAAGTTAAGAGCACTGACTGCCCTTCCAGAGGACCTGAGTTCAATTCCCAGCAACCACATGGTGGCTCACAACCATCTTTAATGAGATCTGGTGCCCTCTCCTGGCCTGCAGGGATACGTGCAGACAGAACACTGTATATATAATAAATAAATACATCTTTTTAAAAAGGATCCTATCAAAAACTAACTAAGGAAAAAGGAAAAAGAGGCACCAGGTGGGGGGTCCACAGCTGAAACCCGGTCTCTGGAGATGGTGGGGCCGGCGGGCGTGGAAGTACGGGCCAGAGTAAAGACTGTCTCAGAAAACAAAGGGAGAGTATGACTGTATCGGCTGCACCCTAGTCAAGGAGGTGATGGTTGCAGGTAACTACTTACGGCAGGCTTTATTAACCTAGGACAGAGGCTTTTGCTCCCAGCCTGTAGCTGGTGGAACATATTAGACTCAAATCTACGACCTGCACCAGGTATTTTCCAGCCTCAGATTCCTAGGACAAAGGACTTGGAAGACAACAGCTTCTTTGTCTGGATTCTCCTGGGTCTCGTCCAGAGTTGTGAGCATCTTCAGGCATCCGTGTGGAGAAGCTCAATGTTTTCAGCTGCTCACTCGGGGCCTCCCTCTCAGGGTTCTTCCTGGGGCCCTTGGTCAACACTGTAGGAGGAAAACAGAACTCAGCCATTAGCCATGTGACTTACTAGGGGCGCATACAGATGAGGTAATAAAAGGGCGGTTTACCACACTGCTAACCACACCCACTTTAGGCAGGACTAAAGACATATACGGATGTAGGTGGTGAACTATGTCACTAGCCAGGCCCACTTTTGGGCATGGCTAGGGGCGTTACGGAGGAAGGTAGAAAAGACTGAACAACGGAAGTCTAGCTCTTTTTCCGCCTTTCCAGCTTCGAGTTCGGCGGTGGAAAACTACACGGCTCATCTGTCAGCCATTTTAAGGGTAGAGCTTTTGGTTGCTCTGTAGGTTTGGCACTAGCATCCTGCTTCTGTACAGCCTGTACATTTGGCATCTGTTTTCTGTACTGTCTTACTATATTCTTTCTACCACTAAGAGCTTGTCTATAATTCCTAGCTGATACAGGAGGAATGTTAATCTGCATATTCCATTGCTGGAGTAGATCACGACCCCAGAGGTTTACAACAATATCTGTAACATATGGCTTTAACCTTTCTCTCTGTCCTTCTGGCCCAATAAAGTCAATCCATCTAAATTGGAACTCTGTTTAACTTGAGATAGAGTTCCAATTCCTAAGAATTGAAAGTTAACCTCTTTTAAAGGCCAAATTAGGGGCCAAGACTTCTGATTTATGATGGTGACGTTACTTCTGATGTCTAAAATGTCGTTAATCACCATATTATTTACTTTAAATGGTAACTTGGGTCTATGATATTTTATAGAAGTTTGCCAAAATATACGTTTTGTATTTCCTCCTGATATAATTGATTCATCCTCTGGAGCTAATGTATTATCCGGTGCCATATTATTTACAATGGAAGGTGGATCTTCTAATTGTCCTAGGAGAGGCTGTCCTCCACTGTCACTGGGAATGACCGGATAATCTTTCTTTCTGGGGCCTTCCTGAGACCCTGATTCCCGTTTCCCAGCTGTAAAGATCTACCTTGTCTGTCTGTAGTCGACCAGCATTCGTTGATCCAATGTCATCCCATTCCACACCTCCTGCAGAGACCAGGAGGCTGAGGCCTTCTGTCTGAAGCATTCCTGGTAGAAGCATTATTTCTAGGAATGCGTTGTCTACAGTTCCTACTCAGATAACATATTCTATCACAGTTAAAGCATGTGGCATCTTTATGTCTGTTGAAATTTTTGGAGATTGCCTCCCCTACCCAGGCCTCTATATCATCACGGGTAGGGTATTTGGCATCCTGGTGCCTCCTCAAGCCCGTAGAAATAGCTTCATCTACCCAAGCTCCCATATCCTGACTTTTACATTCAAGGTTTGCTGTATATAGGACCCATTCCTCCAATGGCGCTGATCTTATTTTTAATGGCCAAAGTACCTGCTTGAATTGTGGATTTGCATTCTCATATGCCAAAGATTCTATAAGGAGTCGCCTATATTCTGGATTTGTTACTTGTACTTCTATTGCTCTGGACAATCTCTCTAAAAATTCAGTGAACCTTTCCCTTGGACACTGTACTACTTTGGTATAGGGTTGCATTATCTCTCCTGTTTCACAAACCTTATCCAAAGCATTCAAAGCAGCTATACGGCACAAAGACAACATGTGCTCATCATTATGCAGACTGAACCTGCGTGTCAGTGTAAGGACCCTCCCCAAGAATCTTGTCTTGGGGTGCTTCATGACCGTTCTTTAATTCCTGAATCTCTAAGGCTTTCGCCTCTTCCCTCCATAAAGCTCTCCATTGAATTTGAAAAGATTTTTGAGCACTGCTGAGGCTAATTGGGCGCAGTCTTTTGGGGTTACTTTATTTACAGTGGCCCATGAGGTTAGGAGCTCTCTGACATAGGGAGAATGAAGACCATACGAAACAATGGCCTCCTTGATTCCCTTTAGGTCCTTCGTCTGTATAGGTTTCCATTGATAAGCAATGGTACCATTTGCGTGCTTTTTCGTGGCTGGTTTTTTGGTTACAGATACTCGGAAAACCATAGGTGAACGCATAGCAACCTTAGGGAGACCTTTCCGGCATTTAAGAGGTGTTGGGAAACTCCTGTCCTGACCTGTTGCCTGTATGTCTGATTCTGAAGTATCAGATTGAACGTCTTCTAAAACCTGCAGTCTATTCATCATTGTTTCTCTGAGCTCTTGAAGTTCTTGGGACAAATAATTTTCTAAGGACGTCATGGAATCTTTCATTTTTTTGCATTCATTATTTACACGTAATTCCAAATATTTAATATTCTCATCCTTAGAAAGTATCTCAATGGCATGTAAACTGCCTTCCAGAAATGACGTTCTATCAGCTAGTTTGTCATTGCTCTCAAACATGGAACAATTCTTTTCTGTTAGCATTTCAATCTTATGTTCCAGTCTTTGTAGTTTGCTAGTGAAATCATCAAACATGGAACAGTTTTGTTGGTTAAACGTTTCAACATTATTCCACTTTTTCTATTTTGTCTGTTGAACACATTTTTCCTGAAAGTAATTCAATTTTGTGATCCGTCTCTTTAAACCTGTTTGTCAGACCTACATTATCATTTTTAATATCCTGAATATTTTATACCAAACCTTCCTTCCTATCCTGCAAGGAATTTTCCATTTCCTGAATTCTTTGTACTAGGATTTCATAACCATCCTGCGATGACCGTATGACCTGTATAAGTTTGTCATATTTCGCCCTATTTTTGAACCATTTCTTTAGCAAAATTATATTGATTATGAAACTAATAATCACCATCGTGGGTAGGAAGTACCTTCCAGGTAGGTCCTCAACCTTTTCTAAAATCCCATCCATACAAAAAACAAGAAAATTCTTAACATCCTGCATCGTAATGTTAGTTGACATTGTATAAAGCAGTTAAGTTTGTTACCAGTGGAGTTTTATTCAGGTGGAAATCAGCAGGCCGCCAGTGAAAGAGCACGTGGCCACGAGAGAAATCTCAGAAGACCACTTAACCTTACCGGCAGGTAGAAGGTGCTGGTTCCCGGCGGCAGGAATCGTGCCTTGCCCAGCAAAGTGGTGGGGAGCTTAGCGAAAGGAGAGTCCAGGTGTGCCTGGTAGGGCAGAGGAGCAGCCACTTTTCTAGGTGCCTGGATCCGGGTTCCAGAACTTCTGACAACAAAATGATGCTGCAACAATAAACAGCACACATACTGAAAGTAAAATAAGTATTTATTGTAGAAATTACAAGAGACCAAACAAGTAACCCAGATGAGCTGAGTAGTTTTCTGCCACCAAACTAGAAGCCGGAAAAGAGCGCGAGACTTCCATTGTTCAGTCTTTTACACCTTCCTCCGTAACACCCCTAGCCATACCCCAAAGTGGGCCTGGCAAGTGATGTAGTTCACCGCCTACGTCCATATACGTCTTTAGTCATGCCTAAAGTGGGTGTGGTTAGGGTGTGGTAAACCGTCCTTTTTTTTTTTTTTTTTGGTTTTTACAAGACAGGGTTTCTCTGTATTGTTTTGGAGGCTGTCGGTCCAGCCCGGCCTTGAACTCACAGAGATCCTCCTGCCTCTGCCTCCCGAGTGCTGGGATTAAAGGCGTGCGCCACCAACGCCCGGCTAAACCGTCCTTTTATTACCTCATTTGTATGCGCCACTAGTAAGTCACATGGCTAATGGCGGAGTTCTGTTTTCCTCCTACACAACACATTTTTATTTTTTTTATCTCTTTGTTTGCCAGTGTAGTTTCAAAGCTCCTTCCTGTTTCAGATGTTTGGGTCATGCCAAAGGTACAAGTGCTCACTTACAGCAAGAGTGATCTCTGGATAAGGTCTGTCTGTCCCTGATCTCACTGGGGCTGCTTGTTTTGTTTGCAGGACCTGGTCTCACTGTGCAGGCTTCTGTCCTGGAACTTGCTATGTAGATTAGGCTGACTTCAAGTCAGACCCACTTGCCTCTGCCTCTGGCTGCTGGGATCAGAAGTGTGATCCACCATGGCCGGTCCACTGGATTTGTTTTTATTTCATAGAGCTCACAAGTTTAGGAATGCATTCTTGAGTAGGGGACAGGGTTCAGCAGTAGAGCCCCTGCCTAGAATCCCCCAGTGAGGGGCTGGGGGCGTGGCTCAGTAGTAGAGCCCCTGCCTAGAATCCCCCAGTGAGGGGCTGGCAGCATTTCTCAGCAGTAGAGCATGTGTCTAACATTTGAAAAGTCCTGGTTTCAATGTTAACATCTCATGAAGAAATTTCTTGGGACTGGAGAGAGGGCTTAGTGGTTCAGAGCTCTGGGTGTCCTTGCAGAGAATACAGGTTGGGTTCCCAACACCTTCATGGTTGCTGACTACTGTCTGCAAGTCCAGTTCCAGGATCTTATGCCCTCTTCTGGCCTCTGCAGGTATTGCATGAAAAGTAAATCTTAAAAAAAAAACTTCCTTGATTTCTGCAGGTGTTAGGCAGGTTGCAATTTAAAGTCTGAGTTTTAGGAACAGACTAACTCTGCAGCGGTGGATGGGAGGTTAGTATCTTGTAATGTAAATTGCAGAGCTAAACATTACAGTGTACAAAATATTAAACATTAAATACTTGGGTTCAACAATATATTGTTGATGAAATAGAAATGAGTGAACCAGCAGACAGGATGATAGAGATTACTCAGTCCAAACCAGATCGAATCGACAGACAAAACAGACAAAAAAAGGATTATCAACACAGATGTAACGGCACACACCTTCAACCCCAGCACTCGGGAGGCAGAGGCAAGTGGATCTCTGTGAGTTCGAGGCCAGCCTCGTCTACAAAGTGAGTTCCAGGCCATCCAGGGCTACACAGAGAAACTGTGTCTCCACAAACCAAAAATGAAAAAAAAAAAAAAGAGAAGAATGAAGAGGAGGAGGAGGAAGAAGAATTGAAAAGACAATTGGGGGCCGTGAGGGGGCTCAGCAGGCAAAGCACATGCCGTGCGATCCTTTTGGCCTGCGTCAAGTCCAAGAGTCCACGCTGCAAAGCTGTTCTCTGATCTCCACGCGCTTGTCCCCACCCCAGCGTACACACACGAATACAATGGCGAGGGAAGCCAGGGGTGACGGATCGCACCTGTAACCCAGTAACATGGAAGGCTGAGGCGGAGTGGATCCGGGGTAGCCTTGGAGCTCAGAGCCGACTCCTCCCAGCACCAGTCAGAGAATGTCTGTCTGTCTGCCCAGAGGTCTTCTGGGGGACACGCCCTTCATTGGTCACCCACAGGCAGCCAGTCATGGTCCCACTGTGGATTTTGAAATGGCCGTGTTTGCAAGGCCAGCCTCTGTCCCGTGGTGCTGCCCACCTGGGGGAGAAATGCCCTCCTGTGCAAGCTGTGGCCCGCCTCCGGGATGTCGTGGGATGTTTTGGTCCCATTCGGACACTCCCAAGACTGCCAATAAAGTTTACTTTGGATCAGGGGGTGGAGCTAGCTACTAGCCGACCAAAATTAGCCACAGAGGTTTTGGAGGAGCAAGGACACAGAGAGAAACACGGAAAGGATGAGGCTTAGGGAGATTCTTGACTCTTTTTTTGGGTGAGAGAGGAGGTCGCTGGCCACTTCCCCCGCCACTTGTCTGACCATTCATGGCCTTGCCCTGATGTCTGACTCCAGAGTTTGTATTGATAAAGAATAATTGGATAAACACTCCGTCTGTTGTCAGCGCGCAAGATCAGGAGACGGCCACTTGCTGCTGGCTTTGTAGCCCCCCCCCCCCAGAGTTGCCGTTCAGCCGCAGCTGCCTTGACCAGACTGTGCGCCGCCAACATTCTGATGAAGTGTAGCAACAGCTGCCCTCACTCATGGCTGTGGTCACCATGAGACACCTGGGAATTTTTTTACTCTTTTTATTTTTTTAATAATTTTTACCAAGCTATACATTTTTCTCCACGCCCCTTCCCACCTCCCCTTCCCCCTCAATCCTTCCCCGTGCGCCCCCCCCCGTTTACTCAGGAGATCTTATCCTTTCCCTTCCCTAGGCGGATCCATGTATGTCCCTCTTAGGTTTGTCTTTGTTACCTAGGTTCTCTGGGGTTGTGACCTGTAGGCTGATGTCCTTTGCTTTATGTCTAATGTCCACTTATGAGTGAGTACGTGTTATATTTGTCTTTGTGGGTCCGGGTTACCTCACTAAGGATGGCTTTTGCTAGTTGTGTCCATTTGCCTGCAAATTGCAAAAGGTCATTTTTTAACCACTCAGTAGGACTCCATTGTGTAAATGTAGGACATTTCCTTCATTCATTCTTTGGTTGAGGGGATTCAACACTCTAAGGACGGGAGGGAAGTTCACTCTCAGGGCAAGAGGACTCCAGCAGGGTCGTGAAGAATTTAAACTCCCCGTTGTTGTTAAAACGTCTGGGTTTACCCAGTAACGAGACACGACGGTCCCGCGTGGTTTTATTGGTGGACAGGGAAGGAAAGGGGGGGATGAGAGGTAACCAACCTGTGCAGAGCAGAGCTGAGAGAGAGAGAGAGAGAAAGAGAGAGAGAGAGAGAGAGAGAGAGAGAGAGAGAGAGAGGATGAGATGTGAGCAGAGCTGAGAGAGAGAGAGAGAGAGAGAGAGAGAGAGAGAGAGAGAGAGAGAGAGAGGATGAGATGTGAGCAGAGCTGAGAGAGAGAGAGAGAGAGAGAGAGAGAGAGAGAGAGAGAGAGAGAGAGAGAGAGAGGATGAGATGATGAGAGTAAGAGAAAAGAGTAAGAATAAAAGAGCGTAAACGGGCAGGGGTCAGTCCTTTAAAGGGTCCTTTGCACATGTGTGGTTCTCACAGAACTCTGGGCTGGCCAGAGCGCTGCCTGAATGAATCCTGCCAGGTAACAGGGCAGGCCAGCGCAATGCCTGAACCTTTCACCCATCTCAGGAGTAACATTATGTACGGTTGCTAAAAGAAAAAGCGTAACTGCACAGCTTTTAAATATTAAAGATGGAAATGGAATGGCTCCTGAGACAAAGAATAAATCAAGGAAAAAGGAAACGTCCCAGTGGAGAAGAGGGAAGGGAAGGAAATTTAAAAAAGGAAGAGAGGGAAGGAAAGGAAATAAAAGGAAACTTCTCGATGGAAAAAGGAGAAATGGATAATCAAGAAAAAAGGAATTTCCCAGTAAAAAGGGGGAGATTAGTGAATCAAGGTCTAAAAATTAAAAGGTCCCATAAATGAAAAATAAAGGAAAGAATGAATCCTCCTCCCAGCAGAAACAGAGGAAGCAAAAAGGCTCTTTCCTACACAAGAAACTGAGGACAGCTAACACTCAGATCAATCACAAAGAGTCGGCAGGTGACTTCTCTGCTGCAGCCTGAGCAAAACCGCAAGCCCAGAGCCTGGAGTTTTCTTGTCCCTTTGCTTAACTTTGGTTTAAATGATTTTTTGTTTTTTTCCCTCAGATCGGGAATAACTCAATATTGAAGGCCCCTTTATGGGAAATACTTTTTACTTTTCCCTAATAGTGGGAATATAACTCATCATCAGTGGTGCCTTCATGGGAGAAAGAGGAAATCTTAAACAAGCCCAGAGTTTGCTGGTAAATGGATAGCACTGGAGGAAACCATCCTGAGTGAGGTAACCCAGTCACAAAAAGACAAACATGGTATGTACTCACTCATATATGGATTTTAAACATGGATCAGGAAAGTGCCAGTCTGCATTTCCACTGACAGAGAGTCTGGGAAACAGGAAAGAACCTAAAAGATATGCATGGTACCCAAGAGAAGAGAAATTAGGCAAGATCCTCTGAACAGATGGGGAACACAGCAAGTGGGGAGGAGTGGGAGCTGGGAAAAAGAGAGGGGGAGAAGAGGAAGAGAGAGTAGGCCATGGGGGAACAGGAAGTCTGAGTGGGGGGTAGAATTGGGGGAAGAGGGAGCCATAGGTTAGAAGACAGATCTGACACCAGTGTGACCTCTAGTGATCTAAAGGGATGACACCAATTGGCAAGCTAAGCAATAGTGGAGAGACCACCTTAAATGCCCATTCCTGATAATGAACTTGATGTCTATAACCATCTGGGAGCCTTCATCCAGTGACTGATGGAAGCAGAGGCAAACACCCACAGTTAAACACTGAACTGAACCCAAGGAACCTAGCGACAGAGAGAGAGGAGTGATGAGCAAATAGGCAAAGAATGGCAAAACCAGCAGAGACAGCTGATCTGAAGAGGGGAGAGCTCTTGGACC